ACAGGTTTGAGCCCAGCCTGGGCAACTTAGTAAGGCTCTGCCTCAAAATGAACAATAAAAGTAGGCTAGGGATAGTGCAAAGACCCTGGATTCAGCCCCCAGTACGGGGGTGGGGTGGGGAGGATATACATACAAATGGGCATTAAGATACGTTATGGACATATACCCTCTCCTTATAATGAATGTAATCATTCAAATATGTGCTAATAAAATTAAAATTAGAAAAAGAGGCAAGTCTGGCTTTTTATACTGCTGCTGCTTCCGGCATTAGTTAAATGACCTCATGCACATACGCAGTGAGCACCTACCACACGCCAGACTTGCTCTCAGAACAGGGTAAAGGTCTTCCTCTCCCGGGGCTTAGATTCGAGTGGAGAAGACAGATAACAAACACTGCAAGAAGTGCTGGGCAGTAACGGGCGCTTCTGTGAGGAACAATGTGGGAAGCTAGAGTTTGGGGAGGCCCAGCCTGCTGCGCGTGGGGTGCTCCACGCCAGGGAACCTTGCAGAGAAAACTGGAAGAGGCACAGGCAGCAGGCAGGAAGGCGGGAAGCGCAGGGAACGAGAAGCAGGAAGTGCGAAGGGCCCGGGCAGGGAGGAACAGGGGTCTGAGGAGCAGCTGCAGGGGTCGGGCTGACCAGGACACGGAGAATGACACGGGAGCTCTCCGACGGCGCCCTACAGGACACCCTCCCCGCCGGATCTGCGGAACAGCCACCCCATCTCAGCTCCATGCCCGAGTCTGCTCTGACTCCCAAGAGCCGGAACAAAGAGCAGAGCAGGGTGTCACATCCTCAAACGCAAGTCCGTGCCTGGCTCTGGCCACCCCAAAGCCACACAACCCGAGGAGCAGAGCCCCGGGCTGCAGGGGACAGAGCAGTCACTCCCGCGCTGGCCGACATGAGGCCGCTCACCTTGCAGTCACTGATGCTGCCGTGCAGCTGGCTGAACTCCCGGGTGAAGGTGTGGGTGATCAGCTGCAGGCACTGCAGAAGGAAGAGGACAGGAGGCTGTGTGAACGGACGGACACATCGATGGCGAAGCCGCGTGGGGTGGCGCAGGCCCGTGACCCCAGGGACCATACTTGGGGGCTGGGGCAGGACAGCAGGTTCGAGGCCAGCCTGGACAACCCAGCGAGACCTTGTCCCAAAAAGGGAAAGAGCTGGGCATGCAGCTCAGTGACACAGAGCGCTTTCTCAACATGTGAGGCCCTGCGTCAGTCCCCAGTTCCACAAAACAAGAAAAAAACAAAAACAGCTAAATGGAGCCCTGCACACCAGGCAGAGGGCGCCTCTCACGCCTATGACCCACGGCTCAGCATGCCCCAGACAGCTCTAGAATCTGCCAAGTCCACGGCAAGGTTCTGAGAGACCGGACACCCACACACGGACACACGGTGACTCGGGCGAGTGGCTCCCCTGCTCCTCAGAGCTAGCCTTGAAAAACCTTTTAAGAAAAAGTATCTGCAAGGGGGATCTGGTGTATGTCCAATCAAGACAATAAAATAAATGGATTTAAAACCCTGTTTTAAGACTAAGAAAGTGAGTTAGCGCACACACGACAGCGGGGAGGAACGCAGCCTCCTCCTCATTCTGCATGACTCTGACGACAGCTGCGTGCAGCTCTCTGGATTTCCCACAGAAACTACACGACCATTAGGTTATGCACACAGGACAGTCACAAAGCCCCCTCACGTTCCTGCGTCCTTTCAGCGAGCTGCCCAGCAGCGATCCCCGTGGGGGGCCCCGACGACCCGCTGCCTCCTCCCTGCACCCCCCCACCCCTTCCTCTCTGACCCCGCTGAAAGCCTCCCCACTTCCCACCAGATTTCGCTGGACCACTGAAGCTCTCTCTTCCTCAGCCTTGCTCTTCACCACAAACCCATCTTTTTCACCGCGGCCACAGAGATTTTTCAAGAGTAGGAAAATTAATTGGGAAAAAGAATTGGAGATAAGAATAGCTCCTGAGAGACAGGAGGGGTCCTGAATGGGCTGTTCCAGAGAGGTTTTACTAAAACAAACTGTTTAAAGTATTTCCAGCCCAACACTTTTATCATGCCTGCACTCTGGAAGGCTAAGGCAGGCGGTTTGCAGGTTTAAGTTTAGCCTGGGCAACTCAGTGACTTAGTAAGACCCCACCTCAACAAACAAAAAGGACCGGGGACATAGCTCAGTGTAAAGACCGAGCCAGACTGGCCCGCTCCATCTCCAGTCCCTCGGCCCCGCGCACCCGCTCCTGAGAGACAGCCTCTGTGGCCCACTTGTCCACCCCAACACAAGCTCAGGGTGGGAATCGGCGCATCTGCTTCCGCACTGTGTGTCACAGGCCTCGAACCAGCGGCCCGAGGAAGGGCTGACGGTGAGCAGAGAGGCCAGCTCCCGCCTCGGACGGGGGGCCCCCTGCCAGGAGGAGGGTCCCACCTTGGTGGCCAGCTCTTTCTCCCGGTCCACCAGGCTCTCGATGTCCGCTGAGTCATAGCCGCTGCTCTCGCTGGGGGTGATGGCGCTTTCAAAGGTGGTGGTTGAGATCTGCGAGGAGATGCTGGTGGAGGTGCTGAGGGTCCCGCTACTGAGGCTGGGGGACAGCGAGTCACTCAGGGATTTGGGGACGCTGTCACCAAGTCTCTCACGCAGCAGCAGGAAGTGTCGAGTTTTCTCCACCTGAGAAAATAGCACACCTGCCTTAGCAGACACAAGGCTGGTCGAGATTTTAAAAAGCAAAACATTATGCCTCCATCATTATGGAAAACTGAAAAGCCCCGTGTCCTGGTCTATGTCTAGGTGTCCCCAAAAGCCTTTCATGCTTGGGAGGGGCTTGTGGAAGCTCAACGGATCACGGGGGTCGTCTTAGAGCAGACTGGCTGATAGGAGGCGGGGCTTAGCAGAAGAGGTGGCTCATGGGGCATGGCCTCAGAGGCTCCACCCCTCCAGGCTCCTCCCACCTCCCTGCTTTCTAGTTGCCCTGGCTCAGCAGCTCTCTTGCACCTGGGCCCTGCCCTCCTGTCCCTGCCTCTGAGCCAGCAGACCCAACAGTGAGCCAGCCTAACCCTCTCCTCCTGCCAGTGGCACTGGGCACTGTCCGGGCGGAGGAGGGTGTCTGACCCGCACCTCGTGCAGCAGCTCCAGCTTGTCCAGCTCCCACTGGTGCTCCAGGATGAGGCTGTCCCCGCGGGGCCGCCAGCCCGCCAGGTTCTCCTCCCCGCGCACGTAGGCCACCGACGTGTCCAGCACTTTCCTCCGCCTCCTCTGCATGCCTGGCACAAGAGGGCGGATTGGCTTTCCACGAAGGATTCAGTTGCAGTTTTAGGTCAACAGGAATCACTCAGTCAACATGTGGCAAACTAAGTTTGTCTCAACACCCATGAGAATTCATTAATAAAAATCCACACTTTTCTTCCAAAGCAACTCTGAACTCTTTTTTTCTGTGGTGCTGGCGTCAAATCCAGGGCCTGCTGTGTCAGGTAAGTGTTGGCCACTGTGACACCCTCAGCCTTTCCGAAGTTGTTGGCAGAGGGTCTCCCCTCTAGCCTAGGCCACCCTAATCACTGAGTTGCCCAGGTTAGCCTTCCACTTGCCATCCTCCTGCCTCAGCTTCCAGAGTGCTGGAATTATAGGTCTGTGCCATTGACTGAATTGAGCTTGAGAAAACACTAATGGCGTTACATGAAAATACACAGACACCAAACAGTCTGTGCACTATGATTCCAAATACTTAAAGATATACCGCTATGCGAACAGTGGGAAGAGACTGCGCACACACGTATCTAGTAGTTCAGGGAGTGGTAGATGACAGATGGCTTTAGTCCTCACTGTTTCTTTCTTACTTTTTTTTTTTGGTACTCAGGAACCTGTGCTCACCAGGCAGGCACTTGTACCACTAAGCTATCTCTGTGGCCCCATTTCACATTTAAAAAAAAAAAAAATTATTTTTTTGTAACAGGGTCTTGCTATGTAGCAGTTCAGGCTGCCCTTCAGCTCACTATGTATCACAGGCTGGCCTCAAACTCATGGTGATTCTCCTGCCTCAGCCTCCCAAGTGCTGTGATTACAGGCATGCAGCACCATGCCTGGCATTTCCTATTTATTTTTTTAATGTTATACTACTTAAAGAAAAATTTAAAAATAGAGAAAACAAAAAGAAAAAAGAAAAAACACATAAGCATTATACTACTGTTTTACATAGAAAATATATGAATTTATCTTAATTCAGAAAATTCCTCAAGAAACTATATGGAGAGCAGAGTAACTATATGGTGGAACGTGCCCATAATTCTAGCACTCTGGAGGCTGAGGCAGGAAGATCACCAAAATCTTGAGGCCAGTCAAGTCTACATAGTGAGACTTTGACTCTAAGGAAAAAAAAAACAACACACACACACACACACACACTATCTGGACGTTAAAATTAGCTGCTATTGGGACATGGATTCCAGTTCTAAGTCTTTATCTAAATCTGACCAATGGGCCCTGGCTTCTTTTCTGTAAATGCTCTTTTTTTTTTTTGGTACCGGGAATCAAACTCAGGACCTTGCGCTTGCCAGGCACGCACTGTGCCACTGAGCTAAATCCCCAGCCCCCTGTAAATGCTCTCTAAAATGACTCAAGCTGCTGGGTCAGGGTGTGGCCCTGGGGTAGGTGCCTGCCTAGCATGCACGAGGGCCTGGCTTCAATCTGCAGCACCACGTAGACAAACAAAAATCAAATGCAACACATTCATTAACCGAATGGTGTTTTAGAAACCTTATGCCGTGCTGCCGACCTCCCCTTGGAAACTCAAGTGGGATGTACCTCTCCTTATGACAGTCTGCAGGGGTGGGGCCTGGAGCGGGTGGGGTTAGGACTTCCTGCTGTCCTTAGGAAGTCCTCTGGGGTGAATCAGGAACCCCTGCTGGAGCAGGCCTGGGTCAGGACCAAGAACTCAACTTTCTTTTACTTTCTTTTGCAGTGCTGGGGATGGAGTGCCAGGCAAATGCAACGAGGCAGAGCGCCACCTCCAGGCCAGCACTGGGATTCTGACGGTTTCTCAGGGCAGCCGGTGCAGGCGCTCAGTTTTACTGCCAAGTTGTCTTTGGGCTAAGGCGGGGAGGGAAGTGCTAAGAGCTTTCCAAGCCACATTCATTCTAACTCAAACTTTTAAATACTATTTCATAGCCCCGCAACA